TCTCCTAAACGAACTCGAGTACAAGGTAGTAGCCTTGGTAGACGCGTGCAGTTTTCTTCTGTTGCTGCTGTTTCTGGCTTTGATCCGAAAGACAGATTAGCCTCCCCCATGCTGTCCCCTCACGGGGTCCCAGTTCATGGCAGATAGTGTTTTCAACCGCACTGAGACTGACGTCTTTTCATTGGTCGCGGGTTAGCGCGGTCGATGCTACTAATAAACACACACATACACACCTTGTTGTGTTCTACCCCAGAAGGGATGGTGGTTGCACTGTCTGACCCCCCCCCCCGCCCCCTGCCCTCGGTGCTGTACACCGATTAACCAGAAAGATGACGACGACGAGTGGGTGTTGAGCATCTCCTCAACAGAAAGCTACGGACCCGACGAGAAGACCCTGCTGGTTTGGGGGCAGATGGTTGTGTACGACACGAAAGAGGAAGCGGCCGAATCCCTGTGCCCGGACGCAGACGCCGCAGGGTATGTTCGTCTCATCCGTGCCCTCAACCACGAGGGGCAGCAAGCTACCTGTCTTCCCGAGAAGGAGTTCTTGGGTTCGCAGACTAGTGCTCTCTACCTGTGGGTCGACCCCACGTGTCCGGTGTACTACGCGAAATGCGCGCCGGATGAAGACTGCCGCTACCCAGTAGTGTTTAGTACGTGTGTGCCGCAAGACGTGTCTAGCTATGACCGGATGACTGGCGTGTGGAAAGTAGGGGCGAATGGCATTGCTCAGGATAGCGGCAATCTTGGCTGCCCCATCAGGGTCCAGATGAAGAAGACTATTCAGGCTACGAGGGGCTCCCGCCGACTGCACCCAGTCCGCGTTGTGACACCCGCCAGCCACGAGGTCTTCGTTGTTACCTCCGACTGGGCTGAGGAAGAACACTCCAACACAGACGAGATACGCGCCAGACAACTCTCGGTTGTGCCGGAAACCCAGGCGTCTGATGTCTCGGAGGTCGAGGACACTACTGATGATGTCCCTCCCCGTGACAACAACGGGAGTGGCCATGCGGACGGAGTGCCGGGAGTGCAGGGGGAGAAACACTCGACGAAGGACGACGACGTCGACAAGGAGAACGCGGCTGCCCCTGCAATCGCGACCGAGAAGACGGCGCGATCTGCGAAATCTCGTCGTGCTGCTAACCCGACCGCGGGGTCTTCTTCAGTACAGCAACCCCACAACACCAGGGGCTCTTCAAAGAAGAGGGGACTAACTCAACCTCAGAAACCCAAACAGGCGGGTGGGGTGAAGAAAACCCGTCGGGTGCTTCAAACTCTGAGGATGGCAGGACAACACTAACCCTAACCTAAGGCGGAACACTTCTAAGTTGCGGTGTCGGCAACGTACCCGAAAGGATGACTGCTGGTGTCTGAGCTTGAGGTCGTTCACGTAGGTTTCCAATCTAGAAGGTTGTTGTTCTCAAGGCAGCCTGCGCGGAAACACGCTGCAACCTGGCGGTTCGTTCGCGATATCAATTGGGGAGGAGCAGGCCCTGCTTTTGTTTATCTCCTTTGTCTTCCTTCACCTGTGGCACAGGTCTTGTCAGAGTTGCCTGTTGGGATCCATCATTGGGTTCGCGAATCTGCTGATCTGTTGGGTTTCTGGGGCTTTCCGAGAAAGTACCATGTGGCGTTTTTTTTCGTATGAATGTAGTTGAAGGTGTGCCTAATGACGCCGACCCTAGTTTCAAGTTTTGAATCCAATGCTCTTGACGGAGAGTCTAGGAGTGTCGACGTTCGGGCGTATTGGGGAAATCTTAATCTTTTCAGCATAATATCTTGTCTACTCGGANGGCGGCGGAACTATAGTGATTTTCGGCCTTGCCAATGGTGATAGCTCGGGCGAAAGGGCGTGTGTTCGATTTGGAGGACGCCCGAGGATGTTTTTCTTTGGAGCGAAAATAAATTATTTGGCACTACTTTTGGTTCGCCAACCTGCCCAAATATTTTCTCATTAAATTTTTTTTTCTCAAAAAGTGTAATCCGGTGTTAATTGGTGTTTATTGGAGTTGATGAGAAGTGAGCATTTATTGTTATGTACCAAAGAGGATGTCTGCGTGCGTGTAGAGGAGGAGGCGTGCGCACCGAGAGAAGGCAGCTGCTCGCAGGACATTCTGTTTGCGTCCGATCACGTTGAAGCATCATCAGCGCTGGAGCACAGGGACTGCTAAACGTACGAGTGGACAACACTGCCAGCTACTACCTGTGCAGACGTTTTGTTCCGGGGAGCTAGTGTTGTCGTCATTCCAACCCACGCCACCCGCGAATTTTTTTCCGAAAGAGGGGGGGGGGGGGG